GCTCTTACTGTTTAACAGGAGTTCTGGATCAAACAGACAAACTCTTTAAAATATATAGTATAAATAAATGCCTCATCCACCACCTCTTCCGTGTCTATAGTAGACCTCTATTATGACATCACTCCTATTTTCCCCATTGCCGTTATCCAGAGACTCATAGCTGGACTGCCTATCAAAACAAATGTATATTTTCCTGATGTACAATGCAACGCCTCCTCCCTTTTTACCTTGCCTGTCATTTCTGAACAAGCTATACCCCTCTATACCAATGCTCCAGTCCTGAGAATTATCCCATCATGTCTCAGTGATGTGAGTTATATTATAGTTTAGTTTATGTACTGTTTTTAGTTATTCCTGCTTATTGCCCATATCCCTTGAAATTGAGTGAAGAAATATAGTGTTGAGCAGATGACTCTGCTGATTTTGCTCTTGTTCCTATGGTTCCCATTGTAATCAAAATCAGAGGGAAGAAAAAAGTATTATTATTCTTTTTTTGGTTTTATGTATTTGTGAGCTTCTTAGTTACAAAGTGATAAAGGCCATATAATGTTTGGTTATCATAGAATACTAGAACTGGACGGGACCTGGAGAGGTTATCAAGTCCAGTCCCCTGCCATCATGGCAGGACCAAGTATTATCTAGATCATCCCTGATAGATGTTTATCCAACCTGCTCTTAAATATCTCCTGTGATGGAGATTCCACAACCTCCCTATGAATTTAACCACCCCGACAGGAAGTTTTTCCTAATGTCCAACCTAAACCACTTTTGCTACAATTTAAGCCCATTGCTTCTTGTCCTATCTTCAAAGGCCAAAGAGAACACTTTTTCTCCTTCCTGCTTGTAACACCCTTTAGATACTTGAAAACTGCTATCTGTCCCCTCTCAGTCTTCTCTTTTCTCAGCTAAACAAGCCCAATTCTTTCAGTCTTCCCTCACAGGTAAAGTTTTCTAGACCTTTAATCATTTTGTTCTAGAGAACATGTAGAGAAATCCCCATAATGGTAAAAAATCAAATAAATATGGAATCATCTTTAGTAACTTAGAATGGCACTGTTTCTATCTTTATAAAATATGTTAGAAGTTTGTCAATGAAATGCTATCTTTTTTTATTCAATGAATACATTAATCAATTACATATGGAATTATCTCTAGCAGAGGAGAGCAATCTAGCAGTGTCTCTACCTTTAATAATTGCATTAGGATTTTGCTAAAGAAATATAATTATGATTTTGCTATTCTTGAAATGCAAATCAAGGAAGTGAACAAAGGAAAATTAGGTTGTCGTCCTGCTGCTGCATCAGAAGACGTCTGCCATTACTGTCAAGCTAGCATCCCTTAAAAAGAAGAATAAATAATTGATCAGAATCTATTGTTTCCCTGGAATGAATTTTGAAGGAAAATTGTCCACATTTACTGAAGCCTAATCCTTCTGTTTGCCCTTCAATCCAATACTGCCATGTGCTGCTAAGAACTGCAATCGAGTCTCAAGGCCTGGGGCGTGTCGTTTAATCTCTTCTCTTTTCTCTTCTCTTTGCTGCTTCTCCCTCCCCCACCCTCTCTGTCTCTGAGGCCCAGTGAGGTCAGCTCATGAATATTGCTGCATTTCCCTGAGATACTCTGCCACAGCTTGGTACCTCGTGTGTGTATGCATTTTACCAGCCCAGCAGCAGACAAAGTGGTGGTGAGTAATGAAACTGCCTTACAGTAGAGCCATTGTTAAGTGTTGGGGGGGTTGTTTTTGTGGGGTGTTTTTATGAATGTTCAATAGAATTAAAACTCAACACACCATAAATCGTTTAGGGTAACCCAGTGAAAATACCCTCTTCCTTCTGCATGCAAAAATCAGGACAAAGGCACCCTCGAGCTTTAATAAATATACTTGCAGTGGGCAGCATAGTGAAACTTACCAGAATGAGAGGGCATGATCTGTGCTGGGAAAGTGAACAAATTAAATGGAAGCCTCTTCTGAATTCCTGGCTGCTTCTGTCTAAGGGGATTTATGTGTACACTGGCAGGTAAAGACTGTGAACCCTCTCTCTGGTTTGCTGTTGGGGTTATTTTGTTTTTCTTTTTTCTTCTTCTTTTCTTTTCTATCTTAGCAGCTGTTTCCAGCAGGAAATCCTGCAGAGATGCAACCATGTCCTGTCACCACTTTGATGCTACATGATTTTACCTCTAGCAAGCTGATTCTATTGCAGAGTTTTTGTGCAGATGGGGAATTCTTACTTGGAAATGAGTTTCGGTTGCTGGTTTTTTAAAAAATAAATATTTAATTTGTATAGAAGCCTGCTGGTGCTGGAATTTGGAACACGAAGGGTTCAAGTTACATATTCCTGGCAGAACTTTGCTGAACCTGATGACTTTGCTGCAGTGAAACTTCAGGAAGAAATCCAGGTAGCGTGTAAGGTGACAGATTTGTTGGTTTAATTTTTAGCAACACTTAAGTCATACTTCATTGTAATGAATAAGATACAGAAATCAAGTTGATTCCACACATTTTAAGCACCTTTAGATACAACTTGTTTGTAATAGGTGACTGAAATGACTGAAAGAAACATTTCATAGTTTTTTTATATGTATAGTAAGAAATTATAGCTCCACATTTGGCAATTAATATATTGGAACTTTTTGCCCACTTACATTCCTCAGAATGTTAATTTTCAATACTTCAACTAAAATCATTAGTGTAGATGTCAATGCATGTAACAGTAATCAGGGCATGTAATCAGTGCATCCCTGGCACTAAGCAGCGTCATAGCCTAGAGTGTGTTTCAGAGTTGTCTAATTGGTACAGACCATAGAATGACCTTGCCAAATTCCATTTGGTCTCTTTACTGTTTAATTCTTTTCAGGAGGATTCAGATAATTTTAGATAATTAGAAATATACCTGGACCGCTACAGTTTTTACTTTTGCTGCTGCATAAATTATCATAAACTATAAATGAAAGTTGAATAAAGACTATTAAGTACATTTTGTTGGTCACACTGGTCATTTTCAGATCACACAAGGAAGCATCTGTGTAACGCTACATCAAATAAATACCCTTTTTATAATTGACTGTGACCATGGAAACAATCACTTTGCTAATATGGAAAAAAAGTTGCCAACTGAACATAATTTGGTAACCATAGTAACAGTCAGTCCTGGAGTAATCTAAATGTGTTCTGGGATTCTTAGTCTTTTAAATTACAAAAATGGGTAAAATTGGCTAGCGAGACCCTCATAATTAATATGATACTGAGAAATTGGAGGGAAAAGTAACCTTCGAACCTAGATTTGTAATAAGTTTGATATCCAGAGACACTATATCACTAGTTCTTAAGATATGTACTTGTAAATTCAACATAGTAATATAATCATAATCTCCACCATTGTAAAAGGGTGGGGCTAGTTTAGATGGTCTATGCCTTGGTACTGCTGGGAGAGTCCCTCTTGTTAGAGCTAAAGGAACTTCTGGTTTTAGTTACATGTGTGCAACCCCAGGAGCATAAAGTATTCCCTTCTCTATTGGGAATGTCCTTCTCAACAGCTGGGGGAGTCCTTTCTAGTATGACCAAGATCCGGCTAGTACACACTGAATAACGTTGGCCAGAGCGAACAAAGCAAATAAGACGTGTACAGCTCAACTACACGTTCTGACAGCCGCAGGAAAAAAAATGTCACCTGCTGGAGACAAAAAGGAGTCAGGTTCTGATCCGCACTACAGAGGGGTTATTCAAATGACTTCAAGGAAGTGACTCCGAATTCCCATGGGTGTAAAGGAGAGCACAATTGCTGGCCATCCCACAGTGTGAAGCCTGCATCGGTTTTTGCTTGCTGGGGATTGAAAGTCGCTCCCCGAGTCCCTAGCTGGGTGGGGTTGGCTTGGAACAAAGCGCTCTGACTGCCGGGGGGGAGGAGGCACCTTCCCTCCCCAGCTGCAACGCGCCCCATAACTCATAGCTCGGAAAGCGCGGGCAGCATTTCCATACCCCTGAGGGCCGACACAGTGTGAAGCCTGCATCGGTTTTTGCTTGCTGGGGATTGAAAGTCGCTCCCCGAGTCCCTAGCTGGGTGGGGTTGGCTTGGAACAAAGCGCTCTGACTGCCGGGGGGGAGGAGGCACCTTCCCTCCCCAGCTGCAACGCGCCCCATAACTCATAGCTCGGAAAGCGCGGGCAGCATTTCCATACCCCTGAGGGCCGAG